TTGGTTTATGCTTAGTTATAGTTGACATTTACGAATTCACATGAAATCACAAAAAGGAAAAAAATCAGTTTTTGTAACATGCTTGACGGAAGGAACTCAAACTAACGCTACAACCCTGAGAGATTTGAGCCTAAACATTCTTTGGAGAGTTATAAATCTTGATTTCTAAAGTCGTTGCATGATCTCATCATTCTTTGCTTGGTTACTACTTAGAATGCATTTCATCACTATAGTTCCAAATACTAGAATTCATGCCCATTTCATTCAAAGCATAAAATTGAGTGCATAACATAAAACAAGATGAAGTTGTTTAGTTAAAACCGGAGCCAAAAAGCCTTACCCTTTGCATATGTATTGTATGTTAACCCCTTTGAGCCTTTGTTAGCCTATTGTCTTTGTTAGCCCACATAATCCTTACCTAGCCTAGATTAGGACTATCCATACCCTTGTTCTTAAAGGATAGGACAACATGACTTAGAGGGAATTCCTTTTGATCTACAATTTGTGAAAAAACAAGTGTGGGGGAAGGGATTTTCGTTGGGAATCCATGAAGTTGTATGGTTGGTGTGCCAAAGAAAAAGATTAGGGCACCGGGAAAAGAAAAAAAAACGTGAAAAAGAAGAAAAAGAAGAAGGAAAAAGAGTTGAAAATAAGTGAGAATGAACTCACAAGTGTTGATTGTTGAAGAAAGGGTCCAAAAGTTTGAATTTGACCCTAAGTTTTGTGTGAATCGTTCTTTGGTGTTCAAAGTTGATTTCTGCATTCAAAAGTGAATTCTAAGTGTTTATTTCATTACTTTGCTTTGTCATGTGTGGAGAAGGACCCTCTAACTAGCCTTTCACCCATTTATTTCACATCAAATTTTGGAGTATTTTCTACAAAGTTTTTGTTTTAAGTTTTAAATTCGTCAAAAACAATCCCCCTTTCATTTAGTCTTGTTATTTGAGTCAAAATTTGTTTTCTTTTAGTCTTTTGAGTCAAGTTGAGTCTTATTTTCGTCAAAATCACTTGTTGGGTCCAGAATTGAGTCTTTTTGAGTGTTTGTTGCTGGTTTAAGTGTTTTAAGTTAGTTTTGAGTCTATAGAGTCTAAATTAGTGTTTTTAAGTTTTAAATGTGTTGATTAGCATCCCTAGTTAATCCGCGGTCTAGAATGATCCCTACTTACATATCTACTACAATTGTCACAAATAGGGTTTAATTTGTGTGTCAAGTTAATTTTCACATCAAAGGGATGGAGGGTGTCGGGTGGGGAAGAAGAAGTGGGTTGTGGGGATTTTTTTTAAAAAAATACTTTTTTTAACTAATTATTTTAATATTTTATATTTTTATGACATGTGGCGCCCAGTCATTGTCCACGTGGGCGCCACATTATCAGTTAACGGGAGACTTAACAGCCAGACTAACGGATGTATGAGACTGTCCCAAAATTAAGACTTTAAGTATGACTCAGGGACGAAAAAAACTTCATGTACTAAATGTTGAAAACCACGAAACTTGAGGGTAGTAAACTAATATTTACCCAAATAAAAAATAAAAAGAAAAATTGTTCTCCTCCCAACTTCCCTACCCTTCTCCCTAACACTACCCCCTCTCTTTTCTATGTCACAACCTTAATCATTTTTCAGATTGAAAGTTTTATCTCTTATATGTGTTATTTCTCATTTATTTGCATTTTTTTTTGTAAAGAAAAAGGGTAATTATATCTCTTATGAATTTTCTTGTGAATTTTTAACATAGATTGAATGAAATGTCCTTAATTGGCTAACAGAGACAAACACAAGAACTAAATTAGCCAAATCGAAAATACAGGGACTAAATTGGCCATATGACTATAACACATGAATCATTTTGACATTTAAGCCTACAATAAAATAGAAGAATACGCATCAACCCTACACCATCTTCATGTAATGGCCAAAAATCATGCCTTAATTAACCGGTATGGACTATGGACAATAATTAAGATTTAACGTGTACACTGCAATATAATCGTTACACTTATTTCTCCATCATCAATAAAAGTTAGTACTTGATGATAAAGACCACATAATTCACCAATATTAATTGTGTACGTTTGAACCCCTTGCAACTTCAAAGTGATTTTAGGGTTCTTACATGGTGAGTTAGTAACGTATGAAATATGCAAATTACATCCATCTTTTCTGTTTCATGCGTATTAGCTAGCTGCAAATGTGAAAGAACCTATATTTGATACAAGAGGTAAGTGCCAAGCGACAACTGCAGCTCGTTCTTTTGTTGTGAATGGGGTCGAATCGATCGATCGAATTGCAATCATTTCGGTCAAACAAAAAATTGCAGAAACAATGCAGATTGGTAGCTGAGCATAGTAAATAGTTATGGCCGTACTGCAATGATCAAAATGTAGTAGAAAAAATGGGGGAACGTAATAATTAATGTGACCAATAAATTAGAGCCGGCCCTCAGCATTAGGGGTCCTGTGCAAATCAGCAAAGCATAACCATAACGAGTTGAACCCAGTCAATACTGTTGGAAGAGAACTTTGGTATTAATGTGCACATTTAATATATGTACACATTTTTATTTTTATTTTTATTTTTTTTAGAGAACTTTGATGGTACAAGGAAAATTTATTGATATGGAAAAAAAAAGAAGTTACATCTAGTTAGGAGAGAACATAAATATTAACCCTCATAAAGCAGGAAAAACCAAAATTACAAGAAAAAAGAAGAGAGTTTTTTTGGGGGGGGGGGGGGGTGGTGGGGGAGAAGGAGGAGAAGGGACGTACACCTTACTCTTCTTGAAAAAAAAAGCTTAGGGGTCCTTCTGAATCAGAGGCCCTATGCGATGGAGTATTTTGCACACCCTTAGAGCTGGCGGTGCAATAAATTGGACTCCTCTATTTATCTTATGGGTATAGTCCACGTTCATTAAACAACCAGAAATTAATGTCACTGGTAGAATAGTCTAGTACTATTTTTTCTATATGTAACTATGAAGTTTTAGGTTTAATTCATATGAATTGCAAGTTCAATAATAAATTAGTGTTGACCTATTGTGTAGTTGACTTATCCCAATCCCAACTTCTCTATACCCAATATCGTTGTATTAAAATAAATAAATAAAATTCTAGAAACTCAAGATATATCTTATTTTTATTATTCCATTGATCAAAAGCAAAATTCATACACATTGCATAGTTAGTGATGATGACGAGGATTGAAAATTAAAATAATGCGAAGGGGAGGAATTGGATCCCATCCGAGTTTACTTTGTAGGGATTCATCTTAGTCATTTCTCATGTATCGTGCGGTCATAAATTATTTGATTTTTTTAATTCAAAATTAAACATATATATATGACGAAAACTGATCACACAATATATGATTAACGGTTAAAATATAAGAATCTCAAAGATTCTCACAAAATGAATCCGGAAAGGTCCTCTTCCACAAAGGGGATGCCTGTGATGAGGACAGATTTGACCCTAATTGTAATATATTCGATTTGGCCGTTGTACTTGGACAAATTATTCAATTATTGGTGCCTTTTCCTTTGTTGGTTCACACGAGAGGAAAGGGTAAATAACTAAATCAATATTGTAGAGGGAAAAGGGCAACAAACTTTCAAATTTCCAAGCCCCTGCTGGGAAAGTTAGTTTGTAAAAGGCCCAGGAAAAAAATATTTGGAAATTGGAATGGTTGTTGAATCTTGGATGTGGAAGAATTTGAAGACCTTGTCTTAAACTTTATAGACAATATAATATTAATCCAACATGATCAATTGTCCTGTCCATGATCACATGACCCATGATTAATATAAAACAAAGCCCCCACTTAATCTCTACAGACTACAGTCAATAATTATTAGAGGTAAGGTCTCTTTGGTTCTTTAGAGCACATGCAACCTCAACCTCAACCACAAATTTTTTATTTTATAAAAAATCTACGAAAGAAATTTATTGATATACTAAATGCATTGTGGTTGAGGTTTTCTAAAATTGAGGTTTTTTTTGTTGTTGTCATTTTATCCTTATTTAATGAAGATATTTCATAAAATGATCAAAATGATTGATAGTGAACAAATATAGAAACCAATTTTATTAATTTCAAATCTCATATATCAAAGTAAGAAGTTATGTCAATCTCTCAGAGACTATCTTGGCTAAAAAGTCTAAAATAAAAAATATAATAGTATAACAGATATTTTTTTTTTTAACAAACTATAGTATCTACACTAATGAGGTGGGAGAGCGAGCTAAATCTTACAATGAGTTTATCATAATAATGTGGTTCAATTTTTCCTTTGGAGTAGTATCTACACTAATGGGATGGAAGAGCGAGCTATTTTGCCTTTGGCATAGTATCTACACTAATGAGGTGGGGGAGTGAGCTAAGCCTTACAATGGGCTTGCCATAATATTGTAGTTCAACTTCGCCTTTGGCAAGAATTGAGCCTAAGACATTTCGCTTATAAGTGAAGAGGAATACCATTAAACCGTAGTACTAGATGGCAACAGTATAACAATTACGCTAAATTTTTTTTACTAAGAGCAGGTATTGGTAATTAGTATATGTGGTTCCAACAAACAGGTGGATCATTATGAGATTTAATTTAGATCTCTCCCAGGAGGATCCTCTCCGGATCCTCTTTATGAGGTCTTGAGGATCTTCAAATCGTGTCCATTCATCGTATATTATGCAGTCAGTTTTCGTCAGATACTATTCATATTTAATTTAAAATGATTTCTAATTACACGATGTATTATGATGGATAGATACGATTTGAGAATTCTTATGATCCTCACAAAAAGGATCTAGAGAGGATCCTCATTCGGTTTCTCCACCAATCACTGTAAGTGTACATGATGACACTGATTAAGATTCCAATTATATACATAAAATTATACTGAATTTTGAAAAATATTGAATAGGTGGTCTCTGACAATGTGTAAACAATTGATATGGTTGGAAATAATGATATACAAATTTATAAAAATAATTCTTAGACTCTCTGCCTATAAGAAAGAACACAACACGACGCAGCTGCCCCCACACAATAGGAAATAAATCTGTGATTATCGCTAAAGACTAAAGGAGTTGCAAAAAACAGAGAAAGGGACCGGAGGGGGTAAGCAGTTCCAGCAGTGGTAGCTAGCTCCCCAGTTATGGGAAGAAATCCTTGTTGTTCCAAGGAAGGAGTGAAGAGAGGACCATGGACTGCTCTTGAAGACAAAATGCTTGCAGATTACATCCAAGCACACGGTGAAGGACAATGGAGCAATGTTCCAAAACAAGCAGGTGAATATCCGAGTCGACGATGTCTTTCATCTCTATGTTGTATCAACAACTGTTTCCGTTTGTGAGATTTGAACTCATGCCCGGGCTATGACTCTAAATTATCATTCTGATCGTAATCCTTTATTTCTATGATCCGTTAATTTATTTTGTTGAAATCAAAAACACAATGCAGGGCTGAAGAGATGTGGGAAGAGTTGTAGGCTTCGGTGGCTGAATTATCTGAGACCAAGCATCAAGGGAGGCGACATTACAAAAGATGAAGAAGACCTCATCATCAGACTCCACAAACTCTTAGGCAACAGGTCTTGTCTTGTCCTAATTGGTTCAACTCACAATTTTTTTTTATATTTTGAAATTGGTTAAATTAACAAATAAATAAATAAATAAATCTCAATTGTTGAATTGATCAAATTTAATTATCAACGACATACTAAAAAACTGACAACTTCATGAATTGGAATTTAAAAATTGATCATTTCGACAAATTTTTTTTCTTCTTCTTCTTTCTTTTACTAATTTAATTAGGGTTAAACTTTGTGATTGGTGCAGATGGTCTCTAATAGCAGGGAGAATTCCAGGGCGAACAAAAGATGAAATCGAGAATTACTGGCACAGTAATTTATGTAAGAAACATATATTATCATGTAGACCCTCCACCTCCACTGAGATCGCAGACACAGTACAACAGTCAAAAGTTGAAGTGCACTTAGAAAATGACCCCAGTTGCAATAATAATTTTGCATTGGGGTCCTCAATGCTTTGTAATTTAACTGACATCATGGCAGAAGAGTCTGAAACAAGTAGTGGGTCATTACTATCAGCATCAAAGTCGAGGGAAGAAGATCGTTCCAGCTGCTGGGAAAATATTTTGATGGAAGACTTCCACACGAGGGAGATGAGCCTCTCTGAGTTTCTGGATACTGACTTTACAAAGCTGAGCAATGTGTTTGGGTTTAGGATGTGTGATGTCATGAGTAATGAGGTGTTACTTGAAGGAGAATCTGGCTATGGATTCTGACGATGGATCTTAGATGCATGGCTGCTTAATTTCACTGACTTAGAGGAATAATGGATGATTATGTACTAAATAACAAATATGTATTTGCCTAATGGCATTGTCGAAATCCTGTGTAATATATTGCACTGAATAAATTAGTACCCTAGGGTTTTGTTTCAGACTTGTGCTATGCGCTTTAGAAAATGAAAAATGCAAGGAGTTTGAAGTTTTAAGTCTTTAAGAATATATTTCTTTGCATCCCGAGTTTCATGCTCCAATTCTTCAATATAACTTGTAGCTCAAATAGTTTAATATATTTGTTTTTGCATTCCAAGTTTCATGCTTGAATCCTCCAATCCTTCAATATCGCTAAGGGTTTTGTGTCCAGCTTGTGCTATGTGCTTTAGAAAGTTAGAATTTAAAAGGCAAAACACTTGTTGGTCGAGTAACTAAGAGTATTATTCTTGTATTAGAAGTTATATTTGTGCTCAAATGTCTCATTATTCTAAATATCATTTGTATAAAAAAATATTGATAAAATCTTAAGTACAAAAGGGCTTGACCATATGTTTCATTGATATAGCATTGGTATTCAGTTCTCCTCTCTAACCCCATTGACTTGTCGATACTTATGTGCACTATGTTTGAGTTTGTGGAACAAACTTTTTTCTTCCGGGCTGGGCTGAGCTGTTATGAAAATGCTAGGCTGAGATATAAAATACGGTAAATCTCAGTTTACTACCCTCAAGTTTCGTAGTTTTTAACATTTAGTATATCAAGTTTTTTTCGTCTCAGAGTCAACGGCGGAGCTAGTAACAGGGCTAGGGTGGGCTCTAGCATAGGGAGAGTATTAGTTGTTTAAGGTTAAAAATACTGATAATTTAGATTATTTTATTAATTTTAATTGTTATAGCCTACCTAATAAGTAAAATTTCTGAACAATAAGACTACTTTTAGAAAAAGTAAGAGTTAATAAATATTAAATAAATTATTTACTTTAATCAATATCAAAATTTATTATTATTATATTTCAAATCGTACACACACACAGGCAGTCACGTCTCATTAAGTTTTTTTATTTGATTAGTTTCTAGGGAGTAGTATAGTGATTAGTTTAGGAGTAGAGTAGTCATCTCATCTGGTTTTAAAAAGTAAATTTAATATTTTATTAATTTAGGTTTCATAGGAGTAGACTAGTTTATTATTTTATTTCAACTTTTGGGGTACAACACAATGATCCTCTTTCACTTTCTGACTTTCAAAAAAAGCATTTGGCCCGTCTCGACCTCTTGTCTCTGCACTGCAGTTCATAGAAACCAAGCATACAATACAAGTGAGAAAACTTGTTGATTTTTCTTATCAATAGGTAAGTTTTTAACCACTTTATTCTTATTTCTTGATGATTTTATTTGGTTATTGCTTTAATTTTAAGAATTCGTACTTTAAAAATTCAATTTCAAGTTTAATATATTTTTTCTGATAGTCTGATGGATTTCTTAGAAATATAGTTTATTATATAAACTTGCGTTATTATTGTTCAATTTGTTAGGTTAACATTTAATGAACAGGTTAAGAACTATTGATTCATTTTTTAAAAAGAGAGATGATGGTGATAAATTAGAGAGTGATATATACCTTTTGCATCTAATGATAACGCACCAATATCAACTGAGCAGCCTCCTGATTCTCACTAGACATCTAATATAATTGAACCTCAAGAAAAAGTTTTTGATGGTGCTTCTTTGGAATTGGAACGAGACCCGGGAAAACAGATTCAAATACATGAGCATCCTATTAATCAACAAGATGAAGTTCGACGTGCTTATATCAAAGCTGGGCCTTACCGACCGAAACTTCTTGAGTATCCTAGGTCTCGGTTTGGATCACAAAATCGTCGATTTCAATATTCTTGGTTTTCACAATTTCCATGGTTAGGATATTCTCTGACAACAGATAGAGTATATTGTTTCCCATGCTTTCTTTTTGGGACTGGTCCAACAAGTCATCCGGCATTAACTGTTAATGGGTTTAACAATTGGAAAAGAGTTAACGATGGAAAGAATTGTATATTTCTTTCTCATATTGGAGGTCCATCTTCATTACATAATACTTGTGTTTCACGTGTAGAGGAATTGATGAATCCATCTCAGCATGTTGACAAGGTTATTAATAGACAATCAAAAGAAGAAATTTTGAAGAATCGGTTGCGACTCAAGGCTATAGTTGAGTGTGTTCGATGGCTTACATTTCAAGCATGCCCTTTTAGAGGACATGATGAATTAGTGGGTTCGAAAAATCATGGGAATTTTATTGAATTGGTAAAGCATACAGCCAAGTTTAATGATAAGGTTGCTGCAGGTGTTCTAGAAAATGCACCAAAAAATGCCAAATATTTGTCACCCATGATCCAAAAGAAGGTTTTGAACATTCTCACCAACATAGTACAAAGAAAAATTCGTGAAGAAGTCGGGGATGGTGTTTTTTGTGTTCTTGTTGATGAAGCACATGATATTGCCCACGGAGAGCAAATGGCCATTATTTTAAGATTTGTTGATAATGATGGTTTTCTACGAGAACGGATTTTTAGATATTGTGTGGGTTGAAGACACTACTGCACCAACACTTCACAAGGAGATAAAAAAAAGTCCTTGAAGTTACGAGGTCATGGTACGATGGTGCAAGTAATATGCGAGGTCAATGGAATGGGCTACAATCTTTATTTATCAAAGAGTGTTCATCTGCTTATTATGTGCATTGTTTTGCTCATCAACTGCAATTGGCATTAGTTGCAGCATCAAAAGAAGTAGTTGTTATCTGATTATTCTTTTCAGCATTAGGTTCAATTGTGAATGTTATTACTACTTCTTCAAAACGTCATACTCAGCTGCAGGTTGCACACACAGTGAACATTAAAGAGTTGGTGGGTGCTGGTGAACTTGAGATGGGAAGATGAGCTAATCAAATCGGTATTATACATCGACCTGGAGCTACTCGTTAGGGTTCTCATTATGATTCAGTGTGTGACTTGATACATATGTACGACGCGTCTTGTATAGTACTTGAGAACATAAAGAATGATAGATCTGCTATAAACTCTTTGTGTGGGGAAGCTACTGGTGCTTATAATGCAATCAGATCTTTTGAATTTACTTTCATCTTGCATATATTGCAAGAAATCATGGGAATCACTGATATCCTTTGTCGCGAACTGCAAAATAAGTCACAAGACATTCTGAATGCTATGAACCTAGTCACTACTACAAAAGATGTCCTTCATAAGTTGCGATTGGATGGTTGGGCTACCTTTATTGATAAAGTGAGTTTATTCTGCAAAAAAACATGACATTAATATGCCCAATATGACTGCTCAATACAAAATAGGAACTAGTCGTTCTTGTCAGCAAACAAATCATATTACATTTGAGCATCATTATCACGTTGATATCTTCAATAATGCAATAGATTTTCAGCTGGCAAAGCTAAATAATAGGTTTAGTGAGGAGGCAATGGAACTTCTTATTCTCAGTTTAGCTTTAGAACCAAGATAAGCTTTTAAGGCGTTCAACATTGATCACATTTGCAAGCTTGCAGAGAATTTTTATCCTATGGATTTCACAAAAAAAGAGCTACTTACGTTGAGATGTGAGTTGAAAATCTATGAATCAGAGGTACCGCATCATCCTATCTTTCAAAAAATGTCTACTACTTTGGAATTATGTTGGGGATTAGTTGAAATAAAGAGGCCTAAAAGGTACTATTTGATTGATAGGTTAATTTGACTTGTATTGACTTTTCCCGTTTCTACAACAACTATTGAACGAGCTTTTTCAGCAATGAATCTTATTAAAACAAGATGTCGCAACAAGATGGAGAGTGAATTTCTAGCAGATTCAATGGCTGTGTACATTGAAAAAGAGCTTGTTGAAAAGATTGATTCAGAAGAAATAACAAAAGATTTCAATTCCATTAAGGATCGAAGGGCACAACTTGAATAGGTACTATTTCTTTTATTTGTTAAGTTGTTATGACAAGATTGATGATGTATGTTTCTTTCTACTATAAGTTGCAACTTCAAATGTTTTCTTTGTTAAATCTAGTTGAAACTAGCTTTATTCATAGTTAAATTTCTTACTTTAAATTATTGCTTTCAAGTTTGTCATTGTGTAACTTTACGTAAGTAACAAAAAAATTTAACCATTTGATCTCCTAGTAATAATTTTAGTTTAGCCCACCCACCAAATAATTCCTAGCTCCGTTATTGCTCAGAGTCATACCTAAAGTGTTAATTTTAGGACAATCTCATACATCCGTTAGTTTGGCTGTTAAGTCTTCCATTAACTGATGATGTGGCGCCCATGTGAACAATGACTGGACGCTACGTGTCATTAAGGGGGTCCATGTGGAAATTAAAAATAATAAAAAAACCAAAATTTCAAAATTCAAAATTAAAAAACTTAAAAAATTAAAAAATTAAAAAAATAGAAAAAGGTCGGGATAATTGCTTCCTCTCTCCCCGTCCCTTTTTCTCTCTTCTGCAATTATTTATTTTCCCTTGTTCTTTGAATTCCCTCACCTGCATTTTCACAAACATAAAGATCACACCCAACAACTTGATTTCCCCCCACCACCGTCAAGTCTGCCAGAAGTCAAAACCTCAAATCCCTAACCCCCAATTCCAAGTGAGATCCTGAGAGGATAGAAAAGGTTGAACTACCTCTCCATTTCTTGCAATCTTCTTCCTAAACGTGAAGATCTCGTTTTTGAGCTTCAGATCTCGAAGTCGGTGAGGGACTCATGGAGGTGGACGATCTTGGACATGACATTGGCAACCTCGAAGTAGAGAATGTCGACGGTCTGCTTCTGGATTTTGGCAGCTAGTTGGGATTTGGAAAGTGATGTTTTCTTCGAAGGTTGAAGAAGAAAGAATACCGTGCTTGAGATTGGAGCTTACTTGGTTACCCATCTTCAAAATCCAAGGCTCTGCAACCATCGCTGCAAAAACAGAATAAAAGGTGGATGTGAGCGGACAGATTTACTGAGTTAGAGGAAGTGCTTGTGAGAATGCAGGTGAGGGAATCCAAAGAACAAGAAGAAAGGGTGGATATGAGAGGGAGTGGAAGAGGGTCAGGAAGAGAAGAAAAGTGTTATTTATTTAATTTTTTGTTAATTATTTTTTTTT